GGAGTCTCACTCCGTCGCCCAGACTGGAGTGCAGTGGCCGCTCCCGGCCACCGCAGCCTTGACCTGCTGGGCTCCGGCGATTCCTCCGCCTCAGCCTTCCAAGTAGCCGGAACTACAGGTGCACGCTACCATGCCCAGCTAATTTTTTGATCTACTGTAGAGATGAGGTCTCGCTGCCCAGGCGGGTCTCGAACCCGCGGGCTCAGGCAATCCACCCACCTCAGCCTCCCAAAGGCGCGGGACTACAGGCTGAGCCACCAAGCCCAGCTTAATTTTTTAATTTGTTGTAGAGATGAAGTCTCACCAAAGTTGCTCAGGCTGGTCTCAAACCCATGGGCTCAGGCAATCCTTGCACCTCGGCCTCCCAAAGTGCTGGGATTATAGGCATGAACCACCATGCCCGGCTGCTTTGATTTTTTTGTAGAGACAAGGTCTCACTTTGTTGTCCAGGTTGGTTTCAAACCCCTGGGCTCAATGCAGACACCTTCCCTTGAGTTCAGCCTGAGCTCCTGGGCTGAGGATCCTCACTGGGGCCCAGGCCCTTGGGGAATAGACTTCTTGGCCACAGCCGGGAGGAACTGAGGCAAACACCCCCAGGGCTCAAGTGAGGATGAATCACCTCTTAGAGCCTCCAGAGGGCAAGAAAGAGCCTTGGGAGCTACTGGACTGAACAGCCACTGATGCGATTGAACCAAAGTTGGAGAATTAGAAAAAGCAAAGTGATCACACAGTATCAACACAGTAAATGCCTGCAGTCCAGGCTGCAAGCCCAGGCAGGGCTGTTCTGAACAGCACTTCAGGGGGCCAGTTCTATCAAACCCCAAGACTGCCGATGCCAAAAAGTTGCCCGGGGCTCCAGTCCTACTGACATATTATTTATGTAAAGCTTGCAGGAAACATACAGGCTCAGTTGTATAAGACTTAACTCTCAGGGACATTTTATAAAATGCTCATTATCAGGGCATGGTGGCTCATGCCTGTTATCCCAGTATTTTGGGAGGTCAGGAAGGGAGGATTGCTTGAACCCAGGATTTCGACACCAGCCTGGGCAACATAGCGAGACCTTGTCTCTACAAAAAAAATCAAAACATTAACCAGGCGTGGTGGTGTGCAACTGTAGCCCCAGCTACTCAGAAGACAGAAGTGGGAGGATCGCCTGAGCCCAGAAGGTCAAGGCTGCAGTGAGCCATGATGGTGCCACTGTCCTGCAGCCTGGGCAACAGAGTAAGACTCTGATGCAAAAAAAAAAAAAAAAGAAAAAAAGTTGTTTAGTAAACAAGTGATAGACCATGGCATTTTAGAGCAAAACTCTAGGCTCCTATCCTCATTTTCTCATCAGGAGAGGTCCAAATGCTGATCTGAACTCTCTCCCAGGCAGTCAGGGCACAACTGCACATTTGTAGCACTGGGCCAATGTCTGATTCCACCTGCAGGTTGACAAGATGGCCAGTCTGTACAACATCCACCTGCGAACTGGCTGCTTCTGTAACACCGGGGCCTGCCAGCGGCACCTGGGGATAAGTGACGCGGTGGTCAAGAAGCACTTTCAGGTTGGTATAGGACCTTGTGGCAGCGTCTCCGACTAGACTTGTGGTTGGTGGCATGTCTGGGGTGGGGGCTGGCTCTGCAGGCTCATTTCTCCAGCCCTGCTCTGTGGAAGGGCAAAGGAAAAAAGAGGGTCCACAAAAACGGAACATATTTCAAGAGACGAGGGGGGACCCAGAAAAAACCTGAAATTATCTTTTGAAGGGTGGGCCCCTTGTAGTACTGGCTTACCCCACTAGGTAAGTGTTGTAGGAACCCATTGTCATCAGTGGACCAGCTAGCATTGTTGTGAGAGGCTGTGTTGTGAAAGAAACATCCCAAGTGGTGACAAACAGGTGACTGGTTCTCCCACCATCACAATGTATCTGCCCACACCATGCTGAGTGTTCAGCAGTTTTTGACTAAAAATGGCGTGACCCAGTGCCCCACCCTCCCTATTCACCTGATCTCATCCTGAGCAACTTTTTTGTTTGCTTGTGTCCCTGGATGAAAAAAGTCCTCAAAGGGAAACTTTTTGCCAATGTGGAAGAGGTGAAAAAAACCGTCAGAAGCACTCAAGGGCATCATAACTGTCAATCTCAAAAACTGTTTTGAGCAGTGGGAAAAACATCTTGATAGGCGTATTGCATCAAACGGAGAGTACTTTGAAGGTGATGAAGTTTAAGCATGTAAGAATAAATACAAGCTGGGCTCGGTGGCTCAGCCTGTAATCCCGCGCCTCTTGGGCAGGCGAGACCTCATCTCTACAATAAATCAAAAAATTAGCCGGGCGTGGTAGCGCACGCCTGTAATTCCGGCTACTCGGAAGGCTGAGGCGGAAGGATCGCAGGAGCCCAGCAGGTCGAGGCTGCGGTAGCTGGGAGTGGCCACTGCACTCCAGTCTGGGCGACAGAGTAAGACTCCGACTCAAAAAAAAAAGAATAAATACACAATTTTTTAGAAAATAAATTCTAGGATTTGGGGGACCCTCCTTCGTATTATCTCTATGGCAGTACTTCCTGGTTCATTTTGTACTTTGAGGCCAAAAATTTGAAGGCAGGGAGGAGGGTTAGTCTGGAATATGTTATTGTATATATGTCCTTAGCTAGCTCAATCCTCCCGAGGCTCAACCAGCAAGCTAGAGCTGCCTATGTCTTAGTGGGGGGAGTGGAGTGAACTCCTCTGAGTTCCAGGGCTTCTGTGTCTCCCAGGTTCCCCTCCTTCCCTGTCTCTTCTCTGTTCTTAGGTTTTTCACTTCAGGGTACAGCCTGCATTGAATCATTGCATAAAAATAGTTTGCATGGCCAAGAGCTCTTATTTATTCTGGAAGAGTTTCTAATTTGAGTTTCTTTTGGTTGCCACTGGATATTGTGTATACTAGGTCCTGACTAACCATGCAACAGGTTTTATTTAAGAGACAGGTGCTGGGCATGGCAGCTAACGCCTATAATTGCAGCACGTTGGGAGGTGGAGACGAGAGGATTGCCTGAGCCCAGGGGTTCGAGACTAGCCTGGGCAACATGGCAAGACCTCGCCTCTACCATAAATCAAAACATGAGGTGGGCATGGTGGCATGTGCCTGTGGTTCCAGTTACTTGGAAGGCTGATGGGGAAGAATCACCTGAGCCCAGCAGGTCAAGGCTGTGGTGGCCGTGAGTGTGTCACTGCTCTCCAGCCTGGGTGACAGAGTGAGACTCCAACTCGAAAACTAAATAAATAAATAAATAAAAACGAGAGAGGGCTGGAGGGAGAGAAGGATGCTGTTCCAGATAGAGCATTTGATCCCGTGGAATGCCGCAGCTCATTTCCTTGACGACTGCCCTGGACCCAGCACTGTGTCTGGGATGGCCTGGCTCAGCGTGCTGGCCAGTGACCAAAACCAGACAGTGGACCATGAAGACTGGGGTCGTCCGGCCCTTCCCCCCACCTCTCAGCAAGGGAACTCAGGCTGACCTTGGTCTTCGTGGTGGTCACAGGCTGGTCATTTGGAGGGGCAGCCCCTCTGCCTTTTCTTCTTGCTGAGGGGCAGGACTCAGGGCTCTAGGCCTCCCTTCGGTACTGAGAGGCTCAGGAGGTGGCCAGTGGTGGTTCTGCCGCTTCGGCCCTGTGGAGACCCTGAAGTTGACTCCTCGGTGCTTCTGAAACTGGTTTGTTTTGCCTCTCTTGGGGCAGGCCCTGGGCCCAACTCTGAGTAAACATTTTCCATCAAGTGTTTCTGTTAAATTTCTTTTTTTTAAATTGGAAAATATAGTTTATTTAAAAAGTATATTAGAGAGAGAGACAGAGGAGATTCACCTCCCCAAGGTAGGGGAGGGAGCCAAGGCTAGGAAACATGGCAACCGTTGTTCAAGGAGCCACATGGTCAGACCATGGCTTAGCAAAGTAATGGCCTCTATTAAACTTCTTTTTTTTTGAGTTGGAGTCTCACTCTGTCACCCAGACTGGAGTGCAGTGGCCGCTCCCGGCCATCGCAGCCTCAATCTGCTGGGCTCCAGCAATCCTTCCACCTCAGCCTTCCAAGTAGCTGGAACTACAGGCGCGCGCTACCATGCCCAGCTCATTTTGATTTATTGTAAAGATGAGGTCTCGCCAAGTTGCCCAGGCGGGTCTCGAACCCACGGGCTCAGGCAATTCACTCACCTCAGCCTCCCAAAGGCGCAGGATTACAGGCTGAGCCACTGAGCCCGGCTCTGTTAAACTTCTTAATGGCACCTTAAGATTGGCATCAGCCCCAATTTACAGTTGATCAAAGTGAGGTCTAGAAACCTGAGCATGAGAGAATGAACTATGTCTCAGACACACCGTACATATTAATGTTTTCCCGGATTAATTTTAAAATGAATAAAATTGAGAACAGGTGCAGTGGCTCACACTTGTAATCCTGGCACTTTGGGAAGCCAAGGTGAGAGGATAACTTGAGCCCAGGAGTTTGAGAACAGCCTGGGCAACATAGTGAGACCTCACCTGTACAAAAAATAAAAAAATTAGCTGGGCGTGGTGGTGCATGCCTGTAGTCCTAGCTACTCAGGAGGTTGAGGAAGGAGGATTGCTTGAGCTCAGGAGGCTGAGGCTGCAATAAGCCATGATGGCACCACTGCATTCCAGCCTGGTTAACAGAGTGAGATCCTGTCTCAAAAAAAAAAAAAAAGCATTAAATTCATTTTACAAAACTGCTTCTGATTTATCTGAGAAGTGAGTCCCTCTGACTGATTCATTCCCTTTTGTTCCAGGCTGGTCATGTCTGTGGGGATGACATTGACCTCATCGATGGGCAGCCCACAGGGTCTGTGAGGATCTCATTTGGGTACATGTCTACGCTGGAGGATGCCCAGGCCTTTCTCAGGTTCATCATAGACACCCGCCTGTGCTCACCCAGTGGCCGGTCAGTCCCTCAGGACTGTGCTGCTGGGGAGGCTGGAGTCCCATCCACGGAGGGCAAGGCTCCCAACGCAACTGCTGTCACCAGGGTACGGGGCCTCATGCCCCAGGAAGACGCCCTCACAGCCTTGAGGGCTTGGGATGACCTGTCCACAGCTGTGAATGCTGTGACTTTGCCCCCACCTGTGCGTGAAGCTACCACACCCCAGCAGACCCTGTTGGAGAAAGCTGCAGGTGTTCTGGATGCAGACCTTGGGTCACACGTTGTCACCAACCTTTACCTCTACCCGATCAAGTCCTGTGCGGCGTTTGAGGTAAGGGCTCTCCTGGCGGCACAGAAACTGCTGTTTGTCTACTATATATGTTTTGTCTTTGTTTTTGTTTTATAAAGTGAATTAAAGAGTGCAGAAAGTGAAGAAAAGCATGAGGAAAATTCAAATCATTCGTCAGAGCATTGTGGTAAGAAGAGCCATTCTCGTTCTGCCTTTCTGGGTTTGAGCTGACTTTTGAATGTGACTCTCCTTATGGAGACTCCTGAGGAGACCCTGTTTCTCGCTGGAGAACACTTAGTTACTGTTAATAATTATATTTAGCTGGGTGTGGTGTTTCACGCCTGTCATCCTAGCATTTTAGGAGGCTGAGGTGGGAGAATTTCTTAAGCCCAGTTCAAAACCAGCTTGGGCAACATAGCAAGGCCTCATCTCTACAAAAAATTATAAGAAAAAAATTAGCTGGGCGTGGTGATGCATGTCTTTAATCCCAACTACTCAGGAGGCTGAGGTAGAAGAATTGTCTGAGCCCAGGACATTGAGGCTGCTATGAGCCATGATTGTGCCAGTGCACTCCAGCCTGGGTGACATAGTGAGACCCTGACTACAAAATTACTAATAATTATTATTATAGCTGTGAAGCATTTTATGTGTTTTGTTGCATTTGGTTCCTAAGACAGTCATACAAGTAGAGAGGGCTATTGAGGTTAAGCACTTTGTCTAGCTCACCTTCTAATAAACTACAGAGCAAGGTTTGGATCCCGGGGCTGCAGGCCCTTGGGTCCACCTTGGGTGGCTTGCTCTGCCCAGTCCTCTCTGTGGAATTGACCTAGGCTCTGTGGAATTGACTGGACTGTCCCTGAGTCTGTGGGATGGGAGTGCCCGTCTTGGCTGGCAACCAGCCAGTACCGATCCCCTGGGGGACCATCTTTCTGACTGTCACCAACCTGAGATTTTCTATAGTCTCTCTGTGTGTGTCCCAAGTCCCAGGCAAAGCTCCCAGACTCCTGAGCCCCTGGGACCACAGGCTCTCTGGCTTGTCATCGGGTATAACCCAATCAGGGCTGTTTGTCAGCCTGCATTTTAAGGTGATCCCGCAGGAGCCAGTCCTTGGGATAAGACCATAAACCAACTCCTGAAGGGAGGCAGGTGTGGACCCTTTCGTTGTATACAGAGACTCTTTTTTCACAGACAGGTTAGTCAAACGATAGCACAGGCAGGAATGAGTGTCCCATTTTACAGAGGAGGACACTGAAGCTCAGTGAGGTTTTATACCTTGCTGAAGGCCTCCTATCCATCTGCTCATTCAAAAACTATATTTTGAGCACGTGCTACCTGCCAGGCCTTGGGTCAGCACCTGGTGTACTGTGATAAGCAAATGGGAGTGGTTCCTGTCCTCAGGGGTACATAGTCTCAGAAGGGAAGGAGACACAGAACTAAATGCTGCCCAGATAAGTAGAGTCACATGTGGTGATAGGGGCCAGGAAGGCAGAAGGTGGGGCATGTGAGGTAGGATTCTGGTGGGTGCATTATTTAGACTATACTGGGGGGCAGCAGAAAAGGCTTCTCTGAGCACCTGGGAGTCAGGGATATAGAGAAAGGGGGAAGAGCATCCCAGGCAGAGGGAACAGCATATGAGGAGGCCCCGGGATAAGGAAGAGCTGGTCCGTTGAAGGAACTGAAAGAAAGCCTGTGTGGCTGGAGAGCCGGTGGTCCAAGATGTGGTAGGCAGGGGCTAGATCTCATGGGGTCATCTACTTTAGCAATTTTATTCCAAGTGGAATGGAATGGAATGGGGAGCTGTTGAAGAGTGTTTAGCAAGGAAGTTACTTGATGTGGTTTTTGTTTTAGAAAGGGCATACCGGCTGCTGCGTGGACACTGGGTTGTGGGAGGCAGGAAGGCCAGTTCTAGGACATCATAGTGATGCAGGTGAGAGGCCACAGGGGGCTGGGTTAGAGCAGAGGGTGGGGGAGGTCAGAGAGTGAACATTCTAGACTTTGTGGCCCATACCTGCGCAGTTTGTTGCACCCACTCAGCTTGGTCATTGAAGCAGTCATAGACCTAGTGTAAGTGAATGAGACACCTGTTCCAATAAAACTTTATGGAAGCTGGCATAAAAGTCTGTGGACTGAAGCTTGCCGACCCCGACTGAAGTGATGGCAGCCAAGGTGGTAGGAAACAAAGTCAGGGAGCATTTGGTATCGAATGGGTGGATGGGGGCTGTGAGGTTGAGGATGGAGCCTGGGAGGGCTTGAGCCACTGGGGATACTGCTGTCACTGAAGAGATGAGGAGGGACCTGGGGGGAGTCTGGAGGTCAGGGCTCTCCATCAGAGAGATGGGGAAGGTGGAAGGTGCCTGTGAGTTTGTGGAGGAGGCAGGTGTGAGTCTGATGTTCAGAATAGAGAGCTGGAATGGAGCCGGAACCATCAACATTTGAGGCTGTAGACACCTGGGGGAGGGTTGCTGTGCACACCTGGGGGAGGGAAGCTGAGGACACCTGGGGGTGGGGAGCTGAGGACGCCTGGGGGTGGGGAGCTGGAGCTAGTGGGGAAGAGACTTGCCTTTCTGCTGACCCCTGTGCTCTCTCAGACTGAGGTGAAGAAGGGTGAGAGTGGACCTGGAGGCTGAATGGGCGGTACTAGCTCCCGCCCCAGCTTCTTGGCTTTGTCCTCTTTCTGTGGCTTCTTCTCCTTCTTTCCCTTCTTCCTCCCAGAGTGTGCTGAGTCCCCAAGCCCGGCTGTATTTGTGCAGCCACTGCGCACACACATGAAGACCATCTTCGAGGAGCCCCGGCTTCAAACTCCTCTGCCTTTTTGTTCAGGTGACCAGGTGGCCTGTGGGCAACCAGGGGCTGCTGTACGACCGAAGCTGGATGGTTGTGAACCACAATGGTGTTTGCCTGAGTCAGAAGCAGGAGCCACGACTCTGCCTGATCCAGCCCAGCATCGACCTGCAGCAAAGGGTCATGGTCATCACGGCCAAAGGTAGGCAGACTGCGGCATTTCACAGGGCAGCTGCGAGAGTGGCTTTTATGAGGGAAACTAAAAAAAACCCGGAATCGTCTTTTGGAGGAGGGTTCCTTGTAGTACAGTCTTCCCCTCTAGGTGAGTGTTCTAGGAACCCATCAGCATCAGTGAACCAGCTAGTGTTGTTGTGAGAGGCTGCATTCAGCTTCAGTGAATTATTATTTTTTGAGATTCTTTCAGCATGTTTGCCCATTTCATGATGGGTAATTTACAAGCGTACCTGCCCATACCATGCTGAGTTTTCAGCAGTTTTTGACCAAAAACAGTAGGAACCCCATGTCCCAGACCCCCTAATCGCTGGATCTCACCCTGAGCAACGTTTTTTTTGTTTCCCTGGATGAAAAAGGTCCTCAAAGGGAAATGTTTTGCTGATGTGGAAGAGGTGAAACAAAAAACAGCAGCAGCACTCAAAGGCATCCAAACTGACGGGTTCAAAACCTGTCTTGAGCAGTGGAAAGAGCATCTCAAACAGATAGTACTTTGAAGGTGACTGAAGTTTTAGCATGTAAGAATACATACACAATTTTTTAATAAATAAATTCTGGGTTTTTTGGGGATCCCTTTCGTATACTCTTTTTTTTTTTGAGTTGGAGTCTCACTCTGTCGCCCAGACTGGAGTGCAGTGGCCGCTCC